TCTCTCCCCTCCTCCCCCGTCCCCTCTTTCCCTCTCTTTTGGCTGGTACGACTGGAGCCATATCGATAGGAAGCCGTTTTCGCGGGACTGTTAGACTGTATGAGCGCGCAAAACGGCGAAACGGCGCAGTTTGCTGGATGTGGAATAGTGTTAGGGTCGGTGCGTTCGATCGCAGTCACCCGCACACAGAAAGAGAATGAGAGAGGGAGAGGCAGAGAGAGGGAGAGAGGGCGAGAGATAGAGGAGGGCGGAGGGAGGGGAGCGGGCACAAACATATACTACGCTCACTTACAACACACTGCGAGCTTTTAGAAACGCAAAATGTAATTTTCGTGTTCCGCCCAAGTCTTGCGCGCAATAAGCTTAGGAGTGGGAAAGAGCACGAGTTAGTCAGAGAGGGACAGAAAGCGGAGGAGAAGGGGGTTGGGGGAGGGAGGGGGGCTGTATACACAGTTGCTTATTACATGCTCACTTTTGCTGCGCGTCTGACTGTGCCAAGGGCGTAAACACGCTCAAATTCACACACTGAAAAATGAAGACACGTTTTCTTCAACACTGAAAAAACAAATGTTACCGAGGTAACGTTTTATCATGTGACCAAGCCCGGTAACGTTTCCTGATGCAACCTACCCCATGCAAACGGATAGGGCCATCACAAACTGGTTGCATCACCAAACGTTACCTGGTTTGGTTGCGTCAAGAAACGTTACCTCGGTAACATTAGTTTTTCCAGTGAACTTCTTCAACTTTAAGCAAATGCACACACTAAACCCTTATGCGTTTTTTGTGCATGATTATGCAGCCTGACATGCACCCATTGTTCGGCTCATCCTTTCATGCATAGTTACGCATAGTTATGTACATAATTCTGCAGAACTATGGACGGCTTTGTGCATAGTGTGTGGAAGGAGCAGGTACTCTACCTATTAGTAAAGGTGTAAGTTAGAAACATTGTTTAACTCAGAAACTACTACACCAATGGTTATGGCAATGGTACCGATTTGTCGTTACCTTTGGGACGAAAGCCTCAATTGATAAGTCATTATTTCGGCCAGGTCGAACTTCTTATAAAGTTTATACACATGATCTATAACTACCGCCTCTTCTGATTAGGCCAAAATTACCCACCAGCCAGCGGACAATTATAGCGTGTTGCGCTGTGACGTTGAGTGTAGCGTGTCACTGTAATAGTTCTGGTCCCATAGATAGTGATCGTTCTTCAGCACATCTGCTTCGTGTTCGTGTTGCGGAGAAGTTCGTGTTGCTGGAGAGCGAATATTATTGGCGGCGGTGCCGAGTATTTAAGCGACACATTTTCATCTGAGAGTCTACCATACACAGGGAGGTCGTACGGCTTCTAAACCCGTCAGGCTAGTGCGCATGTGCGAGATTGTGATATATTCAAACATTCTTCAATGGACCGTCCGGAAAATACGTCTCTCGTAGCGCCTGGTAGGTAGACAACATCTTACCTACATTACATTCGTGTACTACTTGTAGGCGCTGTTATAGTTGAACATGAGTTCGTCAGCCCGCCGATAAAGACACGGCACGATGTACCCGGCTTGATCACCCAGAGTGATAGGACAGTGGCGTGACAGGTTGGAGGACGGGCTCGAGAGCAGGCAGTCGCATCGGGCAGCAGCGGAGTGTGTAGGTACTACCGAAACCGAGTAGCAAGATTCCGGCACAGTCCGCAGAGCGCATCCGGCTGAATTTCAGACTAGTACGAAGATCGGACTGTCTGGGATTGGTCAGAATGTCAGTGTGAACATAAACATAAGTTCTGATTCACAGAATTGTACCGGATGTCCAGGCTGACATGCCAGTACGTCGGGTTACCTATGTATTGCCTGCAGGGGATGCACCAACCGCTCGACGACCGTCCGATCGAAGACCAACCGGTTGGTGGCTGAATAGGGTTTTCCGCTGCAAGACAATCGGAAGTTAAAAAAGAGACGAATGATTGCTCTCTGTTTCCTTCTGAACGCTGGGCGATGAAGTCGGTGTGCCGGACAGCCAATGAGCGCGCAGAAGTAAACGGATCGAGCAGTCATGCTTTTCCTCTCTAGATATCTGTTTCCTGCAGCAGAATTCTCTTTTCGGACACATTCTACGCCACGCTGGGCCCGTCGTCAATCGACACCACCTCGTCGCAAAACTCATCGTTACGACGGAAGTTTTAGTTCAGAGGTTTACGGTGATCCATAATGGCATTAATACTCGTGGCCCTCCTCACACTGTTGTGCCAGAAGGTCCACCACAGCAATGCTTTCAACTCTTTCGCTGTAAGTTAATTACCTTCGCTGGTATGCCGAACCTGCATATCGCAGCCAGTAGCAGCCAGTACTGGAAGTCGATCGACGTCGAAAAGTTGACGTTGTTCGAAAACGTGATTTGGCACTCAAATTGAGGTATCGGGGTCGGACCGACATTAGACTCGACGTCGATGCAATTTTCGTTTCTGGAATGGGATATTAACGCGGTGCATTGTAGTATTGTGAATTTACATATTGATTCTCTGCTATTATTTGCCCTCATGTGTATTCACACTCACCCCACTGCACCATTAAAGAGTTAGCATCCAGTAACTGATATCTCCTGAATTAACCCAACACTAAATTAATCCTAAAAAAACGTATACGTGAACACAGTAACAATAGAAATATGAAGAAATAATTTTTGGGTCATGAATTTTGGTACTCTTGGTGGAACCATCTACTTTGTTTCAATATCCCACTGTGGGTGGACCACCGAGGATGTTTTGCTTTTCTTTTTCGTATAGGGACCTTATATAGTTGTCATCGAGGATCGGGGTGCCTACTCGTGTGAACTACCCAATAACCACATTCTGTGGGGATGGCATTGGCGAACAAGTCACTTTAATCCAAATAGACCAAGAGAAAAACAACTACTGACTGGTAACATAACAGGTCTAAATGTAACTCTTGACGACAGCTGGTCGGTAAGATATTGCTCCTGGGGATCACCCTTTCATAAAATCGTATACAAAATCGTATACCAATGTTTCTAATTATAACAGGCGACAGTAAGCATGGATTCTTTATCAAATAACCAATGGAAAGAAAACGCTCTTGTATTTCCTTGGAAAAGTAAGGCATGCACGATTTTTAAACAAAATATCCCTTCCCTGTACAACATTTTTTACAAAAAGACAGAAATTAAAGGCGAGTGCAGATTCAAACCAGTAAGTACTTAAACTCACTCACTTAGTTTTTTTCTTTATGTAGAAGAAGTCTGACGCTGCTTTAACACGTTGAGTCTCAGGGGGTGGGAAGCAAACACGTGTTATTGTGACCGTGCGTGTGGTCACGTGGGACTCGACGTGTTAAAACCCAAAGTAATCAATTATACAATGTATTAAAGCTGTGATCATGATCAGTGCACATCTGTTTACAGGGAGTTTACACGGCCAATAACGCCCCCTTGGATTTGGTATTTCCAAACTTCCCAATATTGCCGTATGGACGCTACAGAATAAGAGCCACGGCTGGCAAGGACGAAAACCTGTTCGCATGTTTCGCAGTATATGGAAGAGTAATACCTAAAATGTACTAACATTGAGCAGCTACTACAATGATATGAAGTGTACTGTTCATCCTATTACTGGATGTTTCGGATGGACAAAGTTGATGGACTTTTGAACAGAGCACACGGATTAATTACAGTCGTTCGGTAATAATCATTATTTCTCCGTAAATTACGACTCAAGCATAACGTTTTAAAGACTCAAAGTTTGGCAGGGAGCACCGTACACAACAATCACCAATTCAGGAAGACCACATTTATGGTTCTCACAAGCATATGTGAATGTTGCATCAACTCGCATCAACAACGTGTTATGGCGCTCATGCTCTTTCGCGGTGTGCCCCTGCTAATCATTTTTTCGGCGTTAGTACCTTGTCTAGAACACATGAAGCATTCGAGTTTTCCGTCCCGTACACGAGCGAGCACGACTGCGCGAGTCCCGTTGCGTTTCAGCGCGCGCATACAGCCTTCTTGTTCCAACGCTTTTACCACTGAAAAATATATTTGTACATGTACGATATATTTTGTAATTTGCCATTTACAATACGAGTCGTAAATGTACAACCTCCCACTGTCGCTCGATATTCGATTCCAAGTCGATACATAGGGCTAGTAAATTGTACAATTTTAGATTGTACTTGTACGACTTCTTCCATGGAAAATTTTCCTGTACCCGGTACGACAATTTTTCACAGTGTACGGTGTGCGCTGGGTCGCGGCGTGTCGTGCAGTATTCACGAGCGCTGCGGGCCGGCACGGGCAACGGGCACGTCGCACTACATAAGTCAACAGCACACACACCACACACACACACACACATGCACGGTCAGCTCTGCCCACCCGCGCTTTCTCCCGGCAGGACTGTGCGCTCCACCGGGCTGTCCGAGAAGCGCCGGCCGCGAGCCCAGCGAGCGCCCTGGCGCCACCCAGAGAACCCAACGCCCAGCGCCGGCTACGCCCCGGCCCCAGAGTAGAGCCACGCTGCCCCATCCATCCTCTATCTATTTTCCCGGCCGATACAGATAAAGCGGCGGAAGGGAGGAGAAATAATATTTTTCTTCCTTTCCTTCCCCGTCCGGAATGATAAGCCATCCGTTGCGAAAACGTTTCCAGAAAAGTGTTATTATTGAAATCCGTTTCCTCGCCATCCTGCGAGGGTGGCTGCTCTGTCTGCAGCTTATTGACTCTCACACCAACACTAAAAACTTTCGGTTTGCACGACAGCCACTCTAGAAATTCGGGTGTGAGGCAGTACGACAACTATCTAGTGAGGGAAAACCAAGTGGTGAGAGAGAATAAAACTAGGAGTGAGCCATGACACGGTACGGAGTGCGCCGCGTCACTATAGATGTACAGATAAAGGCATAAAGGGGTGGGAGGGGAGGAGAGGAGCTCCGGGTCCCCGCTCCACCCCTGCGCAGCCGAGGCGCGCCACGCCGTCGTCGTCCGTCGGTGAGATATTTGCCATCGGCATAAATGGAGGAAGATAAAATACCATCAGTCAGACGTGCGGGCTGCAGGCAGGCAGGCTGGGAGGGAGGTG